TCAAACAGTTAGGAGGTGTGAGGATGAAGCATGCTGTGTCCTGTCTCCTAACTGGCTCTCAGTGAGGTAACATCCAGGCCTCACACACCTATCAAATGCCAAATGAGAACATTAATGCGCTTCAGACAGGACTCATTTCTTATGTCCATACGCTCTTCTGGGAGTCTGTACCTCCTTGCACAAAGCCCCTTTTTCAAATTCACACGCTGTCCCTTGAGAAACATAATTAAACTCGGTACCACTGTGAAAGAAAATGGGCAAAATTACTCCTTGGCCCCATTTTATGCAACACAAAAGAGGCAAAGTGCAGGTTCAAAGTGGGAATATACATAGTTCTTTCGTAGACCATGAAAAGTGAAGACTTTTTAAAAAAAATGCCCCACATCTAGGGACCTCCTCTGGAGCACAATGCAGCCATAAACACGAAAAGCAATGTCCTGTGTGATTTTGCAAACACTTCTTTCAGATAACACCGGTTTCCCACCAGAATCTCCCAGCTGAATCCCTCCTTTTCCATCAAACAACATCTCACACTGACAAGCTTACTGTTCCTTAATCATTATGTAAGAAAGTATTTCTGTGTGACTCTAACATACCCGTAGGTGGAAGTGTGGCGCTTTGTCATTCAGAACAGGGATTTTGTAAGGGTTTAAAACATAATCAGATATTTAAGCACAGCGAGTAAACACTTATGGGTGTATTACATGTATATCTCATTTATCATTTTAAAACTATTTTAAAAATGATTTTAATCACAAGGAGATGAAATATAATATGACTATAACACAAGTTCGGTGACTAAAGAGTACTGTTCAATCCAAAATAATCATAATTTTTTTGAGCTGTGGTGCTGACGTGGGTAACATGAGTTTGAATCTGGCTCGCAACATTTATTCTTCCTCAACTTTTCTTGTTAACTTTTCTTTCGCCTATTAGGGATGTGCAAAACTACATATTTGCAGCTAGTTGGTTTATGGCCCGAACGACTAGTTTTAGTTAACCAATCTGTTTTAAGGAAATCCTAAATAATTAGGTTTGTTTTTAGGTAGTTTTATTGACATCAGTTGGACACATTATTATGGGATGTTTACATTAAATATGCTATTAGTTTCATAACTAAATAATAATCATACAAAAAAAACTAAACTAAAAATAAGAAATAAACAATACATTACATAATTAATTATGAATACTTAAATACAACCACAACAACAATACAATAATAAATCAATACATTTTATTCTAAAACTACTGGACTTTACTAACCTCAATTTATTCATAAGAATTGCTAGTTCATATAAATAAAAAGAGAGGCAAAAAGGCAAAAAATATAATCACTGTATTCAATGTACCAGATTTTTAACTGATTTAAATGAATGTGCATTGCTTATCTTTCATCTTTGAAAATAAAGAAAAAATACCTTAAGAAAAGAGTGGGGGTTTGTTTTGTGATTTTGGATCACCTATCATGTACTTCTGCTGATGGCAGAGACTCAACAGCATATAGTTAGCCAGAACAGAATGACGATAACTCCCATAACCACTAGTTTCCCCTGCGGAACGTAATACAACCCAAACTGGCACTAGAGTTTCAGAGCGGGTCTGTTATCCTATTGTTAAAGACACAGCTTAAAATCACAGTATTTCCAATCCTCCGAGGCACACATTATGTTCACAAAGCCCATCACTGCCTGAGCACACCAGTCTATTCATTATTTTACACTCACAATTTGCATTACATTATGAAATGCAGAAAGACATGGTGCTGTAAGGTAAAATTAGGAATGATTCAGGCTCTTTTTGCATGAATAGAGCTGCACACAAAATGTCCTTTAAATTAAATTAAATAAAAGGTATTTTACACTTTAACCAACCCAGCAAGAACAAATATGGCACTGAAATGCCCCAGCAACTGAATAGCATTCATTTTAGGCTTGATATTTTTTTTACAAACATACAACAAACATCTTTAAGCAGTTTCACATATATTTCAAATTATAGAAGTCGTAAAAACATGCTAAATGTTGTACGAACATCTGACAGTAAATACAGTAAATTCAGAATGAAAATAGGTGCACACATGCAAATCAGTGGTAACAGACAGTGTGGCTACTTACAAAATAAGAAAATAAAATATAAAATGAAAAATAATAAAAAATATACACAAAATTATAATTTAAGATGGAATAAGTTTATTATGCAACAGGAAAGAGACTATTGACATTAAAACCTGGCATAGCTATTAGACGGCATTCAATTTTACGGTTTAGCGGTCATTATACTAAAATATATACGACCACAGAATTGCCAAGTATGTTAGTTGTGCTTGAAAATGATACAATACATTTGTTAAGGTGGATATGGATATCGGAATATATAACACTTGAGAAATATTAATTGGCTGAGATTATGTTAAGTCCTCAGTATATCCCCTCAGAAGTGAAACCACTGTGATTAGATCTTTCTTTCATCGAACCCAGTGGGGGACTGTCAAATCTACTTACGGCATGCTTTCTCTGCCTAAAATAAGTACTAGCGACTAGATATCAGAGTCGACACGGAGGGCACTAATCTCACAAAGGAGAAATATGCAACAAACAGCCAAATTTACACTAAAAAAGACATCTGTGAGACGAAAGAAAAAATTTATGGGAAAAACAAGTGTTTTGTTCACCTGTGATACCACATGGCAGCTGCCACAGCGTTTCGTACCATCTATAGCAAAAACTTGAACTCTTTGGCGTGAGTCCAGTTTTCATGCCTCTGTGAGGCTAAAGAGCCCCCTCAGGTAAACAGTGAGATGAGCTGAGCCACGACACGAGGAAAAAAAAAACGACATATTGTTTTGAAATGAAAGGCAGTTGCTATAGGGATGGCTGCTAATTAACCACACAGTGCTGGCAGACCTGGAGAGCGGCAGGACCGGGGACCAGGATCTTGACTTTTATGGATCTATGGTGGGTCCGCTCAGATAAATTAAATCTCAAACAGTTGTTATGGACGATGAAATAACGAAGGTGACGGCAAGTGCAAGGCTAAGGAATGCTACACGTACACCAGCATAGGAGGTGACAGGTTTGCCACAATGACCCAAGAAACCCCCCATGAACATCAGCCAATTTATTTAGAAGGAAATGCCTGAAGGAAAAAAACACTGTGGTCATGGGAACAAACAGGTGTCTGTTAGGAAAGAAATATCCTTTTTGGTATTCATTTAACTTTGTGAAACTTCTTTAAATAAGGTTCAATTTGTTAACATTAGTTAAAACACTAACAATGAGCAACTATTTATTAATCTAGCCTAACTTTCATGTTCATTTATATTTCGACAGGTTGAAAATGCATTAATATGTAGAAATTAACATTAACTATTATTAAATATTAAATATACTAGTATTAAATATACTCGTGGGCTTATGAAACGCTCTCGCACTGCACAAATCAAAAATTTAAATTAATAAAAATTATTGCATTATATAGTAGGAGGTGACAGGTTTGCCACAATGACCCAAGAAACCCCCCATGAACATCAGCCAATTTATTTAGAAGGAAATGCCTGAAGGAAAAAAACACTGTGGTCATGGGAACAAACAGGTGTCTGTTAGGAAAGAAATATCCTTTTTGGTATTCATTTAACTTGGTGAAACTTCTTTAAATAAGGTTCAATTTGTTAACATTAGTTAAAACACTAACAATGAGCAACTATTTATTAATCTAGCCTAACTTTCATGTTCATTTATATTTCGACAGGTTGAAAATGCATTAATATGTAGAAATTAACATTAACTATTATTAAATATTAAATATACTAGTATTAAATATACTCGTGGGCTTATGAAACGCTCTCGCACTGCACAAATCAAAAATTTAAATTAATAAAAATTATTGCATTATATAAGTCGTAGCACATTTTAGATGATAAAAAAGTGACTTATACATACTTAAAAACATGGTAGTAAATGCTGTTTAGATATTTACAATTTTTTGTTAATGCATTAGGTGATCATGATGTTAACAAACTGAACCATATTTTGAACCTCATTATAAAATTTTCCCAAAATTTCAAAGGAAACATTTCAAACAGTAGAACATGGGTGCTTGCAACACCAAGATCATGGGTTCGATTCGAAGGGAATGCATAACTTAAACACCTTAAAATGTCGCAAGAAAACAGCAAAAGGAAATAGCAAGTTGGATTCAAACCTGCATCCCCAGGTGGGCTGCAACCATGAAAAAACTTTCTAAAAAGCAGCACTTTTATGATTTATAAGCTTGTACAATTTTTCCATCAAGCATCCGGATTTAACAACTGTTTGGTTTTCGAGTTGTTCCTAATAAAGACAGCTGGATACAAGTACAAGCAGTGTGAGGAGGCTTCATTGTGGACAAGGCCAAGAGCATGTTCAATATCCTAAGAGAAAAGAAAAGCAGTATTCCCTCTTTCCATGACATCACCCCAGCCGGGAGTTTGAGGGAGGTGTAGAAGGGAGGGGGGAAGCTTTGGGGAATGAGGTGGTGGGGGGGGGATTGGGAGCGCAGCTGGTGTCAGCCGCACGACCATCTGCTCCTGACTAATGGTTCACGCTGACTTTACAACAGAAACCAGGACAGCCAGCCTGCTCCACCGCCTGGCCCGCTGGAGTCCCGTTTTTCCAGTTTCAGAGGCCCGACGGACCTCATAGTTTCACCCTGAGGACAAACAACTAACAACTTCCCTGAGAACTTTCTGATGAACGTGTCCCCCGCCAACTTCAACAAACAACTCACGATTACGAGCAGTCAAAACAAGTTGCAACGACAGTCATAATGTTACACAGCTAGTCAAAATATGTAGGCTGAGATAAAGGTCTGTTAGTAAAACCTCTATATTTAAAGTCAATTTGATGTCAAAGTTGGGTTCAATTCATACTTGAAAAGGTGGTCTGGTTTATGTGAACTCCGGATTCAAACTCAAGTTCTGACCGAGCAATCAAACCAATTGTTGCAGGTTTTCAACTCACCATACATTTTCCCCTCATCGGATAGGATGATTTTCCGTCGTCCGCAGGGTGGGTAGATGGCCAGGGCCTCCTGGAAGCTCTGCTCAATGTCAGGGCTCCACACGCCCTCTGCATCGTTGTCCATTGGCTTATCAGCCGAGTCGCTCATCCTCTCGATATCCTCGCCGGCACTTTCACTGCCACTCCAGCTGCTGGGATCCATGGCAACAGCTGGGATTTCGGAGCCCGAGCCTGGAGAACTCTAGGCACACTGACCTGGGAAGAGCAACCAATAAAAACAAGCAAATGATTGGTCTTGTTTAACTTGTCTTGCTGCAAAGAGTTAACTTAGGTCTCTGAAAACACTTCAATTCAAGCAGGGGTGAACAGGAAGAAAACTTAAATTATAGGATTACAACATTAATTTATTGTGGTATTTCTAATGGTACTTCAAGATACTTAAAAAAAAAATACCATAGTATTACCATAATGCTACCATTATGCAATACAAAATCATAGTAAATGAGTATATTATTTATGACAATTCAGGTTACTTTGAATAAAAGCATTTGCTAAATCTGTATAAATCTATATGCAGTAATGACAATGAAGCAATAAATATTGTAGCCAGGTATTAGAGTTAACTAAAACTAAAAAATTAAATAAAAAATGTTACTTGGAATCAAATAAATGTAAACTGAAATAATAATAAAATATTCAAAAAACATATTTCAGCCATTTGCCAAGGAAACAGTTCTCATTTTCATAACTAAAATGGAAATAAATGACAAAATACAACAAAATTACTAATACTTTAACTAAATGAACAATGTAGCTCAACTAAAGCAAATCTTCTAAATTAAATCCAAATTTTAGATTTTCCAGGCTCTTTTAGTTCATGTCTGTTAATTTTGAGACCATAATGCTACATGCTAGTATTCTCCAAGTGAATTTGTTAACATTTAGATGTACTCATTTAAAATTTGCACTAAGATTTTCATCCAATCAGATGCTCTCTAGAATGAAAATGTCCTGCTCCCTAATAACAACTTACTAGCAAATCATGGCTTATGGCTGTAACATTCTAAAGCCTATTGGCTACTTCAAACTTCCTGTTTAAAGAGGAAATACATCTATGCAGGAAAGAAATTTGGGCCTGTTAAACAATGCCATTGCATTTTCAAAAATGGCCTGTTTACAACTTCACATAG